ATATTTTCTATCAAATTTAATTTAAAAAAATTTTCATACGATATAAAAGTGTTAAATGGGCAACAAACGTTTACGAACGTGTAGCGCGGAGGAAGCAAGGCATTATATAATTTAGAAGAGACCAAATGCCTACCCTTAAACATAGGTTAATAAGAGATATAGTTCTCCTTTTAGGTGATCTGAGTCATAAGAACATGCAATCTTTGGACATGAGCGTGCCGCGTCCAAGTTTGTCCTAACTTCTTCGTTTCTAATTGGCTTGGTATTTAAAATGTCATTATTCTCCCATAAAATATAATATGTTGATACTGAAGCTCTTCATTTATTCTTTATGTTCTTAATAATAAGGTTTTTTGAGATAATCTCTGGCAATTATAGCCAAAAAATTGATGATTGATTGTTTTACCGATAGAAATAATTAATTAAAAATTTAATCAAACCTTCTAGTAAAAAAAATTGAACGCTTTGGTCGTTATATGAAGTTTATATAATGTGACTTTATTAGAAATTTCTTCTATTAGAAAAAATGCCTGAAGATATATGGGAAAAAAATGCATAATGATAACTATTTCTCAAAAGATGTTATAAACATTTAATTTTTATTTTTAAATTGTGATAATTGTCATACATAAATTTTAAAAAAAACCATTCCGTATTCAAGGCTTTTGGTACTTTATTTCTTTTAAAAAAATAAATAAGGCATGTTTTCAGTTACTTTTTGACAAATTCAGTTAATTTCATAGCACTAAATATGATATCGGTATAATAAATAATTTTAACACATTTTGAATTGCTCATTATAATTATAATGTTATAAATGGTCCATAAATTAAAACCAGCAAAAATAACCAAATTGATATAATCTAGAGGTATTTTTTTAAAAAAAATTGGATTTATAGAACCTTTGAAGAAGAAAAAAAAGTAAAAAGGGAGGGGGGGGGGGGGGGTTAATTAAAATAATTGGTCATTCACACAAATATAAGTCATATTAGTTTCATAAAATTTATATTTAAAAAAAAGCATACAAGGTAACAATGAATAAATTAAAATAAAAAAAGCCTTTATAACAAACAAATCAATTTGGTTTTTTAGAACCTTGAAACATATTTAAATATATAACAGTGATGTACTGGATATCCGGGCCAAGATATTTTATTTTTTAATCCAGCCGGTTCTTTTCCAGTTCTTAATCGAATCTTTTAAGATAGCAGCTTCTTGACAGGGTTTTTTTTAAAATATTTATATTAACGCATTTATTTAAACAAAAATGAATATTCATAAATTTTAAAAAAGTTATTATCCTTTACATTCTTTAGTTAAAATCAGAGACCTGCACAGGCCTGGCCGTATTTTAATTTTATTTAATATATCCAGGCCGGACCTAAAAAATATTTAAATACCCGGGCCGAACCTATAAAAAAATACCCGGGCCGGGCCATATATTTTAAAACCGAATATTTTAAATTGCCATTATTAGCTATAAAAATTTAATATCAATGTTACATATTTTTAAAAAAGGGCTGAGCTGTGCAAATTGTACTTCTGCAGGTCTTTGAATGTAAAATGATTAATTTTGAAAAACGGTAGTTAGTTATAATATAACATATAAAAAATTATCTCTAGAGGAATAAAATAACATATATGTCGAATATCGAATTAATTGTATTTATTCTAACTGTTGAAGATATTCTAATCAATTTTAATATATTTTTTTTAGTGAATTAAATATATGTTAATAGATATTTTTTTATAAGGTCCGATATCGAGCCTTGATTTTTTGATCAGGCCTGACCATATCTGCAAAAATAATTCAGGCCAATGTGTAACCCATATTTAAAATTAAAAAATTTTCAAGCATCTCTATTTTAACTTTTACCCAATATGTTTTCTATCACAAATTTAAATTTTATTTGTTTATAGAGATACTATCAATGATTATAAAATTAAATTGAAGACATTGTTATTAAATTACAATAGAAATAAATGGCAAAATTTTATGAGTTGCATGGGACTTGGTTTTTTGATCAGGACAGGCTGTCTGCAAAAAAAAATTTCAGGCCAATGTCTAGCCCATATTTAAAAATTTCAAGTATCTCTATTTTAAATTTTAACCAATATGATTTTTATCACAAATTAAAATTTTGATATAATACCCTTAATGCTCAAGTTACATTACAACAATTTTACCTCTTTTTCTCCTCGATTTTAATATTTTTATAAAATATATTAATAAAGTATATTTAGTACCATATACATAAACTAAATAATTACCCCTCAACCACGTCATTCTTTACGGGTTATTAGCTAGTATTAATAAACGACAATATTTTAAAAATATCAGCTATCAATATATATATATAATTAATATTTTAAATGTAATTATAATTCAAGTTGATGCATGCTTAAAGCGTGTACTTTTGAAATGGTAGGTTTGTGGTTCGATACTGGTAGATAGCAAAAAATTAACATTACACTATATAGTCTCCTTAAATTTTAATAACGTTAAGATGATATGAAAATGATCATATTTTGATTATGAAGATTATACATATAATATTTAATATATCCATAATATCGTAATAAATTTAAAAGGAACCAAAATTCAATTTGTTTTTTAATGTTTAACTGAATTATTTTAAAAAAGATACTGTAGATTAGTGATCTGCATCGGGCCTAATTTTTCAAGCCCGGCCTGAAATTTTTTTTAAAAAGTTTTGCCGGCCCGCCCGAACCCGAAATTTTTTAAAATAATTTACCCACCCGGCCCGGCCCGAATTTATTTAAGTATAGAAATTAATTTTTATAATTACTCAAAATAAAAGATATATGTTATATGTCGTTTAATTTCAATAAATAAAATCAAATATTTTTATTTTACATAAAAAATTCAATATAAAATTGATAAATTTTAAAAAAAAATTCCAAGGCCCGACCAGACCCGGCCCGAATTTTTTTTTAAATATTAGGCCCGGCCCGGTGCGAACTTTTTTCAAAAATATTAGGCCCGGCCCGAACCCGATTAGTTTAAATAAAATTAGGCCCGAGTCCGACCCGGCCCGAACGGGCCGGGTATGGGCCGGGCCTAACTTTGCAGATCTCTACTGTAGATATTATTTTTTGTTATATTTAATTTTGCTAAAGGTTTGGATATCTATTGGCTAAATTTTGAGATTTAGGAAATAATATTTTTGGCTAAACTCTTGATTTAGACATTTTTAAAAATTGGTTAAATTGTGCCGTTTAGCAACACTATATTCAGCCATAAATATTGCCCACGTTTTAAATGAGATGATTAAATTTTTTATAATAAAATACATTTAATCATTCGTGAAAGCTAGCTGTCTTATTATAACATATTGAATTTTTTATGGCATAGGTTAAAAGATAGAAGGTAGATAGAAATCAATTCGGTTCGGTATCGCGTCGGTTTATGAGAATATCATAATATATCGTGTGGAATCGATTAATAATATATATTAATGGTTTGGATGGGTGTGGAAATCGAAAATGTTAGGGAGATATTAAGATAGGTCAGCTGATTTTCCTGAGTCAGTTGATTTAGGTTTTGGAAATCTAATATCTTTATACTTTTATTTTGAAAAAATCATAAATTGATTAAAAAATTTTTAGACTCAATAGACCTAAATATTTCTGGGTTAGATTCGGTCTGGTTGGGTAAAAAAAATTCCCCCCATAACCGTGTTTTCTTTAATATTAATTTAAATTCATAACGAAAAATATATAATAAAAGATTGGTATGAAATGTTACTTTTAATTAATTATTAATTTAAGGTACAATATCTTATTGCACACCTATTAACATGTTTTGTCTTTGATAAAATATAAAGATCTCAATTCATAGTAGTAAGAAGAACATGGGCATTTCAAAAAAATTTACTAATAAAAGTTAAATGCCAAAAATTTTTTCAATATGTAATATACCTAACATTGATTTTTTTGTAGGATGATGAGTCCACTATTAACAGATATGGAGAAAAAAAGGAGGATTAGTGCATTCTCAAATTATTTTGCGATAGGTATTTATCTTTGAATTATTAAAGCTATATCAATGATTCTCTAGATTATAGGGACTTGATCCCATTTTTCTAGCACCTAGAAAAAAAAACTTCTATTCAAAATACAGTTAGTTTGTAAGGTAATACCTTAATAAATCAACAAAAAATTTGGCAATATAATTGATGGAAAAATATTAAAAGTTGATATAATGCAGTAAGATGTTTATTCATTTAAACATAGTTAATTTAGTATTATAAAATAAAATATTATAGTGTATTAATTTTAACTTCATACTTATTATTTTATAAATTGTAAAAAATGGAGATTTATATAGGCGGAATACCCCAAAATCTAGGGTACTCATCGCATAAAAAAAGCTAAATTCTTGTGGCCATCTTCCTTCCATAATTGAAGTTATCTTAAGGCTCTTTATTTTAGAAGATTATTCACCCCTTATGTATGATTATGTATGGGAAGTCTGGTGTTGATAATTAAATTATTTTTAGAACTCTGCCCATATTTTTTAAATAAATTTGAAAAGTTTGAACCAGACTTCTCTAAAAGCCTACAATTTTATTTCTAATTCAGACATATAATTGTAAAAATCAACTAAAATCTATATAAATATAGACAAAGTTTCTGAAGTATTTGTTACAATAACTATGATGGAATTTGGAACCAAACCACTCCACAATTATGTTTATAATACACCATTCAACAATTTATTACCATTTGAAATATTGCATATTTAATACCTTATTCATATTCTAGGCAATATATTTATATTCTTAATGATGAAACTAATATTATTAGCATATGAGTAAATGACAAAAATAATATGATCAAAATGTTATATTTAAATAGTTACCCACCCCCCTCCAACAAAAATTTTTAGTTACTGTCCTGAATTTATTTACACCAAAATATTTTTGTAAAATTGATATATTCATTACATAATCAAAAAATATACTTAATTGTTTTACCTAGCTGGTCTTTGCAAATATACATCAATTTTTCATGTGATGATAACTCAATGGCACAACATCTTTTTTCATAAGGCTGATCATTAATCTTGCTACCTCCACTGAATGGTTTCCATATATTATCATCAATAAATTCTGTTTGCTCAATAACCCTGAGTAAGACAGCAGTTGGTTGATCATCTTTATTTTGATTTTTTTTATTACCCTTTTTAAGCTCTACTGAAGGTTTATTACAATGTGTGTTATAATAAGAGGATGAGAGATCTGTTGAATTATCTATACTTACATTTTCATGAATGAAATTTTGTTTTGGAGATTCTTGAGCCTTTTCAGAAGGTACCAGGGGGATTAAATGTTGACCCCAAAATAAAAAATGATTGTTATTAATGATCCGACCAGCAAAATCATGTGAACTAATAACTACATTATGATCCTGAGGTTTGTAATCATCATAGGCTGGTTTCATAAACCTATTACATAAACATGATTTTCCTGAACCAGATGGAACATATATAATATTTTTGGAATTAAAGGAGGAATTATTAGTGTTTGTAGCTTCATCATAAGTAAAATTATCTGATAAATCATTCTTGAGTGAGTTAAGTGTTTCTTCAACTGCCCAGTTGGTTAATCCTACTACACTGATTGTTATGACTAATGGAGGAATACTATCAAGATCTTTCTCCACCTCAGTAAAAACTGAAGAATAACAAGTAGAATTTGGGCTACTATTATGGAAATTGTGGCTTAATAAATTAGCTGACTGAATAAGCGAGTTACTAAAAGGATTGGTAGGGTTTGAGTTAAATGAAGAATCTGATGAATGGCTTTTCACCATAACTAATAAAATCAGATCATATTAAAGCAATTTGAATAAGTTATGAATGTTTTAATCAAAATAATCATATTTTAAAGTTATGCTTGCCTGATGCTAAGCATAAAGAAGTGGATGCACGTTATTAATTAATATTTCAATGCACAATATCGAAAGTATTAAATATCAGCTGTGAATATTTGACTTTTGTATTTTTAGTTCAATATTAACAACCACCTTTTCGCCCATAGGCGTAGCCAGTGGAGGGGCAAGGGGAAATTCCCCCCCCCCTTTATATCACTTTTCGTAAATATCATTTTAAACTAATAAAAAATACGTTCCTTAGTCCCCTCCCCACTCCCTGTCTCTCAAAAATGTATGCATATATCTTCTTAAACAATAATGAAAGAAATAATGAGAGTTAATAATATTTTAAACATAAACTATTGACTATAATTTATATTTTTTAAAAGGATTTATATATAAATATATATATAAAAAGTGATACCAAAAATGTATTTTAAAAAATGAAATATAAGCCATATATAAGTCATAAGACAAAGGTCAATTTTATATAATTACTATTAATAGATCTATAAAAATACTAAGTAAAATAATATATAAATATGATTTTTTATAATTTTATATAGTGAATTATTTTAATTTATTTTTCTTAATAAAAGTAAAATTTAATTACAAAATTATTAATAAAATTAATTTATAAATTTGATAAAAAATTAACATAACCATATTTCCATTTTTTTTAAATTTCCTTTCAATTTCTTTTAAAATACATTTTGCAATTTTTTGACCCCAAGCATTATATTTGTTTTAAGATTGATATGGACATCAGAAAATATCTTTTAAAGAATGTAAATGAAAAAGGTAATTCTATATTTATTATAATAAACATCAATTTCCTACAAAGATCATCATCGCAAGAAAATTGATTCAATTTCAAGTGACAATAGGGTATCAGAAATATTATGTAACAATCATGAAAATATATCAAAAAAGAAGGAAATTAGAATAAATTTAACAAGGATTGATGAACGTATATTTTATATTTATAATGAATTTATATATCTTTTTTTAGTGATGTAGCTGGGAGATAATAATTCTCTAAATATAAGAGACCTTGATTCAAGTAAGAACTATTTGAATATTAACATAATTATTATTATTAGTTGTTATTGATTCTCAAAAAGATGATCAAATATTAGAGATTGTGCTAGAGAATGAGAAAAGTAATCCTATCATCCAGGTAGTCCCAATAGGTATTTTATTTTAATATCATTATGTAATTTGCATTTTTTTAAGTTATTGTTGTTGATGAAAGATCTGCAGTAAATCTTATACAGTCAAGAGTTCAAAATATGGATAGTAAAATTTCTATTTTAAAAATATGTAAATAGTTTATTTAGGTACTTTACCATTTGACATAAGTAATTATGTTCAATTGGATGTAGCCCCCAAAGAATTTAATATACTAGAGAGTATATATAGGCCACCCAATAATTATAAATTTCCAAGAGATCTTTCTAGAAGAAAATTAAAATTTCAATTTAATTGGTTTACCACTTGGCCTTGGTGGCTTACTCACCTTCACAAGTTTTCTATTTGGACCAAAATATGCTGGAAAAGGTGAACAAAAATTAAACCGACTTGTGAATTGCCCATATAGATGTTGGAAAGATGCAGGAGAGAATTATGAAAATCATCAAAACAATTTATACCATAAAAATACACAAAATATTATATCATCTCTTAGAGCAATTAATGCTAATGATAGAGATTCTATAATTCATATAATAGCTAAACCATTAAAAATTATTATAAGAGAATTATTTATTTTTTATAAAGATCAAGGTAAAAAGAAAATAGCAAATGAAAATAGACGAAAAATATATCCTATAATAGATGCAATAATTACATGTGGAAATCAATGTATGGCATTAAGAGGTCATCGAGATTCAGGTTGTATATTTAAGGATGATACAAATGAAAATGATGGGAACTTTAGAGCTATTATCAGAAACCGAGCAATTAGAGATGATGAGCTCAGGATTAACTTGTTAAATGCACCGAAAAATGCTACATATTTAAGCCTCACCATTCAAAACGAAATCATTGATGTGTGTAATGATTTAATATTAAGAAAGGTAGTTGCCAACATAAACAAGTCTCCATTCTTTTCAGTCTTGGCAGATGAATCAACTGATATATCTGGCATAGAGCAAATGTCCTTGTGTGCTCGATATTTATATTCTGAAAATGGTAAAATTTATATTTATTTTATATAAATTATTATCATTTATACAGATGAAGTTCAAATAAAAGAAGACTTTTTGCAATTTATTCTGATTCAAGATATGAGAGGTGAATGTTTTGCTAACACAATTGATGTTCATCTTAAAAAATTTAAAATTAATGTTAATTTTATGCTGGGACAAGGATATGATGGAGCCCCTGCTATGAGTGGACATTTAAATGGTGTTCAATCACATTTAATAAAAAAATATCCTACTGCAATTTATGTACATTGTGCATCGCATTCCCTAAATCTAGCCATTTCTGATTGTTGCTCAATTTCCGTTATTCGTAGTACCATGGGTTTATTAAACTTTTATTTTAATTATAATCATATATTTAAAAAGGCACAATAGGCAAGGTATATGATATGTTCAAGTATCCAAAAAGGTCTAACGTCCTCAAAAATATTCTGGCAAAGGAAGAATTTGGCAATAATCATTATAAACTTGTGAAAATGTGCCCTACAAGATGGATCCTACGACATGAACCGGTTGCAGTTTTTCTTGAATTAGTTGGCCCGATAATTGTTGCATTGGAGGAAATATGTGGATGGACAGATACATCAGTGGTGGCAGAAGCCAATAGAATCTTAAAAGCGATTCAAGATCCTGAGTTTTTATTGGCCATTAATTGCATTAACACTCTTCTGCCATACAATATTATTATGCAAAGCCTTGCAAAGAGTGAACCAAGATATGGTTCATGCATTGATCTTAGCTGAAGATGCATATAATGCTATTTTACAGACAGCTTCTACATGAGCGGGAGGGGTAGGAACAGTTTGCATCCTATTTTTTTAGGGGGTAGGTGGTAAGCTGCTTTAATGGGGGCAGGATAAATTTTTTTGGGGGGTTATCTATTAAATTTTGAGATGAAATAAGACAAAGTTTATTGCTGTAAAAATTAATACTTTTATTATAGTATTATTATAATAAAATTCATCGACCAAATCTATATATTGCAAACAATCATACACATTGTTTTCCAAATAAACTATCCTTTAAAATATAATTTAAAAGGTTTCGATATTTCAGCAAGCGCATAATGCCATAATAATTCATTCATTGTAAATAATGGAGGTTTTAATTAAATTTATTATCTAAAAAATAAATTCTTTATATTCACAAAATATCGATAGTTGGTAGTAGAGATAGATTAATTTAAGTTATCCTTTATAAATTATTTGAAAAGAGTATCAATAAATAAATAGGTAAAAATAATGATAAAGAGACATCTCCGCCGAAGGCGGCGGGGATTTTTTAGGGGTGTAGGCAAAGGTTTTTGAAGGGGGTTTGCATCCAGTGAAAATTCTGTCATGTAGACGCTGTTGTTTACAGATAAGAAAAAATGCTGATTGTGAATTTAGAACGATTTTTAACAAAGTTCAAAAAATAGTGCAATCTTATTATATGATAATAAGCATGCCAAGAATAGTAATAGTATCAAGACAAGTACATAGGAATAATATTTCCTTACAATCAGTTGAGGAGTATTACATAATTATTATTTTTATACCACTTATGGACACTTTTTTAACTCAGATTAAAGAACGTTTATTAAACCATAAACTTTTGCTAAGCAACTTTCAAATTTAGTTATCCTCTAATCCATCTATGAACATTTCGGATGACATTAGAAATAAAATTCAGTATTTATATAATTTTTATTTGCAAGATATGGTAGGGACCGAATTAGAAGTAATAAGAGAATTTAAATATTGGCAATTTAAAAAGAATGGATATAAAGCCTGATAATTCATTAAATGCACTGAATATTTGTAAACACACACTAATTGAATTTCCGAACATAACAAAATTATTTCAAATTTCAGCATGCCTCTCAATTATGACATGTACAAATGAAAGAACGTTCTCTAATTTAAGAAGAATAAAAACATACTTACGAAATACTACCTCGCAAAATAGATTAAATGGTTTAGCGCTATTAAAATTCATCGGGAATTAACACCAGATAAAATAATTAATGAATTATCAAATTCTAAAAGAAAATTAGATATAACATTATAAATGATTACCACGTTTTTGTATGATCTATCTTATGACATAACATAAATTAATAATACCACATTTTTGTGTGATCTATCCATATTAACAATAAACTAATAAAAATATATTTCATATTTCTTCCGGGCTTATTATTTGTTAAAAAAAATTTAAAATATATATAAGATTAATAACCCGGCCGAAAGCCCGCCAAAAAGGGGGAAATTTTGTAACCCCCCCCCCCCTTTGGAAAATCCTGGCTACGCCTATGTTTTCGCCAGAATTGGTGAGTGAACATAAGGGGGGGGGGGCTCGAATCCACATAAAAATGTAGAGCCCCATGAAAATTAATAAAAATTGTACCCAAAAATGGTAAAAAAAGGGCATTTTGAAAATGATAGCTAAAAAAAGGATCCTAATAAAAACAATTAAAAATTTTTGAGCCCCCTAAAATTTTAAAGACTAGAGACGCCCTGCATCTTGCTATACATTTGTTGATGTAAGGAAGCATACAACAATACCGAAATTGTTTTATAATTTTATTTTCAATACTTTTATATGTATTTAAATATATGAAATCAAGTGTTAAATCTTAGTAACTTTAAAAATTTATAAGTACCTAGATCCGTGGATTCTGCACCCTTCCCCCAATCAAATAACAAAGTTATCCCATATATATTTACGTCTAATCGCCCCCACCACCTTAACAATTTTACCTACAACCCCCTCCCCCTTCAC